TTTGAAAATGGTAAGTTTTTTTTTCTATCTTATTCCCCATTTCCTATTTTATTTTTCTCTCTCTTCAAGAGAATTTCATTGATATTTCATAGCCGATCAATCGTCTGTTGACAACACCATCGACGTCAATATGTTCTTGGCATTGAAAGGAGTCGATCAGCGATCGTGGTGTCGTCGCTGTCGTCACCGTTGAAGGAGGTGAGAAAAAGGAAGTTTGATCGTTTGTAAATATTGTTTTTCGCCATTCTTCGCTGCTCATCATCACGAAAGGTGCTTTCACGAGAATCCCAAGTTGCCGATCTACATATCTGAAATATTTGGTCGCCATCTGACCACCGACGTCGTCATACGCGCCCCACGCACCGCCAACTGTGTGTGGGTTTCGTCTGTAGCTTAAGGAGTTTCCAGAACCAGTCTGGATCGGTTCATACCGACCGACCAAGCCGCCTAATCGAGCTAACCGAGCCATCTTATCGAGCCGATCGAGCCACGATCGAGTCGATCGAGCTGTTAACCGAGCTGATAGTTGTTGACATTTGACCGACGGTTGACCGATCGTTATTCGGGCATTGACTTTTTTTAGGACAACCTATCATGTTGTAATTTATATTGTTATGAATCCGAGATATTATGGGATGTCGAAATCAAGTGTGAGGGCGATCGAATGAAGTTTAATTGGTCAATCGATATGCACGAAAATTGAGGTAATATGTTGAGACTGAATAAATGCATAGATGTATATGATTGGTATATTATGCATGTTTGGTTATAGATGGACTCGAACCGAATACGATTTAAGTGATAAATTAGTTAAGACTCAATTGAATTGCACAAAGGAATTGAAAGATTGATAAGAAATAAATTTAAGGTTAGCGATTAATCAACAAAGGAATTAATCTTAGAATCCTTAAACTTTGAATATTATCGTTAAATGTTTTGATGTAAAAAATGCTTGAAAAAATTACAAAAAATGCCCTTATGAAGTAAAAAGAGAACGAAATTGACCCAAATAGTGGAATTAACCTGATAATTCATTTTTGACCTGATAGAATTACATATCCACCGACTGAACTCCTGACTTGTTTGGAAGACCTGTAAATCGGTTGGAAGACCTAAAATTCGGTTCATAATCCTCGTGATCAGTAATAACTAAAATAACCCTAAAAAGTCATCCTTGATCTGATAGACTACTTATTCACTTGATAAATACTCGGTTTGTTTAGAAACATCATGATTACCGATTTTAATTCCTGAGGCGGTAAAAGATTTTGAATTTCTGATTTTAGAATAATCACCCAATGATTAAATTACTGGAAATGATATATATATATATATATATATATATATATATATATATATATATATATATGATTGAATCAAAGAAAATGATTGGAATACCCTCGTTCTTAGAAATGACAAAAATAACCTCAAATGTTGATATAACCAAAATACCCATGAATTTTAAAAAGACCAAAATACCTTGAACTCTAAGATGACCGAAACAATCTTTAGTACAAAAATGATCTGACTTCCCTCATGACCTAGAAATAAGTGAATGTTATTGGATAATTCTTGAAACACCAAGAAAACCTAAGTATTATATCGCCCCTAAAGGTTGTGGAGTACGACTCAAGTACGTCAGTCATCTTGGAGACTGTTGCAATACATAAATAAAACAAATATCATCGGAATACGTACAATGCCTCAAGATCCGTTCAATGATGGTTCTGAAGATGATCAGTTCGACTAGTGTTGTCAGTAGTAAAGTGTGAATATTCTTGAAGTGCATCAATTTGAGTGGTTGACAGGTATCGCAATGCTGAGATTTGTTCAGTTCGAGTTGACTCGATATCTTGATAAATCGACATGAATCTTGAATATCGTAATTCATCATTTCACCCTTATTGGATTAAGTTGCTAAGAATCCAATAAAAATCAAAGTGTCCGAAGGCCTAAATAATGGAATCGCTCTGGTTATATCTGAAATCTTAATTTATTATGATGTAAAGGTCTTTAAATACCTTTCTGATACACCTAAAATCCTAAATTATCCTAAAGTATCAATATCTGAATGTCTGTTTAGATCCGTTAGCAATTAAACCCTTTTAATAGGGACATCGATCCTTAAATCCGATCAATTTTGCATAAATTCATATTTTCTATTCATGATAATTTCCAAGCGCCTTCGAAAAATATATGATCCTCTAGTGTGTCCCTATTGAAATAAATGTTTTCTTTGATTTATATAAAGTACAATTTTTTTATTCTGACACAAGGTACAATTAGCTTCTGATTTTTGATATTATTGTCTTTTATCTGATTTGTTTTATTGAGGTACTGTCTGGGTAGGTGTTTGGAGACTCTGAGGTTCAGCTAGTTGGTAAATCCTTTTTGTTCTAATCATTCATATTAGACTTATAGATCCTAGGGGTCTAGGGTAAGTCCTTATGAATGTTTGTTCTAGGGTACTGCATTTGGTGTACGGTTGGAGGGAAACTATGTATTTTAAATAAAAACCCAACTTTTGATTTCTTTTTTCCAATATTATTGGTTCTATCTGAAATTGTTTTATTGGGGTACCTTCTAGGTAGGTGTCTGGATTCTATGAGGTTCAGCTAGCTGGTAAATCCTTTCTGTTTTGATCATTCATATTGGATTCCTATATCTTAGGGGTCTAGGGTAAGTCCTTATGAATGATGTTCTAGGAAACTTCACATGGAGTATTTGGATGGAGGGTACCACAATGATTTTAAAAACTTGTTTTTACTGAAATAACTAATATTGTTTTTAAACTATGATTACATTTTATTCTGGTTTTGAAAGAACACACTAGACGTCTGTTTCAAGCTGTGAACCTTGTCTTCCGAATGCTTCCTCTGAGCTATAAACTACTTGTCTGTTACATGAAGAAATAACAGTGGAACCTCAGCTCATCATGAAAACTTGTAGATGTTTGAATCAATAAGAAATTTTTTTATGTTTGTTATTTATCTGCATATCCTTAACATCACATGGTAGTTCTGTATTACTAAGCTTCCCAAAGCTCACTCTGCTATTCACCATTTCAGGTTAAAAGATCGATCCAGTGTAGCTATCGAATTCAGTAATGGGAGTTCCTTCGGCTTTTCTTATAGAGTATGGTACAAGTGTAATTAGGAGGCATGTAGGTCACATTTAATTTTAATATTGAGTCTGAAACTTTTATGATGGGAGGTATGAACGCATTCTGTTTTACGATTTGAAAGTTTTCTACACTTTGTATTTTTATATGTTTTAATAAAAAAATTAAATTTTTCTGTTATTTTTATTGTGGGTCGTTCTAGTGCCCCTAATGTGACATATCAGATTAGATCGGGTCACCTATAACAGTCTAGGATTGCTACAATTATTCACCTTGATAATAATATTTTCCGCAAACCAAACTCCCCGTGTCGTGTTAGGTTGTGAGAGGCGGCATGTGTTTTACTCCTAGAAAATGGAAGGGAAGTTGACATCATGTTAAATTTGCCACAAAATCATTTTATTTTGTTAAATTACCATGAATTTACTACTACTCAATAAAATCTGGATGTATTGAAATGTCTTCTGTCACTTGCCATTAATTAATTGTAGAGACCACGAAACATCGCAAATCCAATAATCGAATTTTAAATATTACTATAAATAACATAACCAGAATCACCCAGCACCTTGATTTTGTTTTCCCCCTAATTAAATAACGATCTATAAGGCATTAAGTTGGAACTCAAATTGAACCATTGTTATTATTTGATAAAGTCGTATCCTCGTCTTTCTTCGTAGGCTGGAGCCGACCACTTGCCTGCCTGTCAGGCCAGACGGTAATTAACAACAATTAATTAATTCCTCAATGTTTTTTTATAATATATCTTCATATGGGATAGTCCAATAATGAAAATCTATACAATCATTATTCTTATTTAATTTGGGATAATTAAATTAAAGAACCCTTCAAACAGCTTTATTTCCCCACTTTAAATATATATAATTGAAAAACATTATTAGTGTGTAACTAACTCTGAGTTGGTTTTGGTGCACAACTAATCCCTCCTGTCTTTCACATTTTATTTTATGATTTCCAATTAATAATTAAGGTCGGATACGAAGCTATTTATTCCGATATAAGCTAAATATAATTAGAATTAACCGTCCAATATTTCAACCGCGTTAAGACGACATTTTACATAAACTTCAAACTTGGAAACACAGAGAAGTTGTCCATCGTCTCCTTTAACAACTTTCTTGTAAGAAAAGGCCCCTCACTGCCCTACGCCATTCTCTGTCTGTCTTCTAAATTTGTATATATAAATACAAATATCCATTCTTTATCCGCTCTCAGCCTCTCTGTTGGATGCACAGAATCCATTCATTTACACCACTGGCACACGTGTTTTTTCTTCTTATTTATGCATCCCAATTCCATTGATATTCAAACACAGTAATTGCCTCATTGGAAGAAAGAAACAAGAGAGAAAACGAGGGCCTTTCAGCCCTCTGTTCTTGTTATGCTTCATCTCAGATCTTAGATTATCTTGCTTTCCCTTCTGGATTCCCCCCCCCCCGGTATGCTCCATATCATTCTCTCAAAACTAGATTAAAGCTGCTCTATTTTTCATGCTTTGGTTTCTTGGAATCCTGGATTGTTGATCGATCTGTAATCGGTCTTATCTTATGTTTTTCGATCGAATCCAACAACATAAATAACCAAGCTTGGGTTGATTTTCGTGTCCCGACAAGGCACGGTTATCTTCGTTTAATCTACATTACGATGTTTATGTTGGAGAAATGATGATCAGTTGTGTGTTGCATTTAAATTCAAGAGAGCAAAGCCTCAATTGTATCTGACATTATTTACATGAAATTACGAGTCGGATTCTAGATCAGATGTTTTCTTTGTAGTGATATGTTTATTCATTTTGTTTATGATTGACTGGGAATTCAATATTCAGCAAGATTGTATTGGTATTGTGTTCAGAATGGAAATGGAGGTTGGCAAGCTATTCATCGGCGGTATTTCTTGGGGCACAAATGTGGACCGTCTTAGACAGTATTTTGAAACTTTTGGGGAAGTTGTGGAAGCTGTTATAATGAAGGATCGGACCACAGGTCGTGCCCGTGGGTTTGGGTTTGTTGTTTATGCAGACCCGGCTATTGCAGAAAAGGTTGTTTTGAAGCAGCATATGATAGATGGTAGAACTGTAAGTTCCTAACCTCTTTTTCTTTAAACTCCCTTGTAATATGGTATGTTCTGAAAAGTACTTTTGCTTTGATAATATGAATTGTATAGCATGCAATTCAAAACATTAGAGACTTAGAGTTATCCAGTTTCTTGTCTCGGTGTAGTTGATGGCCGCTCATATGATCATTTCTTTTTCTTTTTAATCATGTTTTTTAATTAAGACATGACTTTGTTTTATTAATTTTGATGTTTGTATTGTACTTGTACATTGTGAGGTTTGATTGGCAGCATGTTGCTATTGAGTAAGAACTACTCAAGTAACATGTATTTACCCCTTTCGAGGCCATTGAAGGTGATAGATTCCCAAACATCAGTCAATGTCAACAGTTAGGGAATCTGTCACCTAACTGAAGCTGTGACATCAGTTTCATTGAGATGAATCACTGTATTCAGAACACAGTTTGATAAATTGCAAAATGAACCATTGGTAATTATTTAGCATCAAATAGATGATGCGAACATGTAATTTGTATGATGGAGAAGAAGAATGTCATTATAGATCTTGTGTTCATGTTCCTCAGTCGTACACTACTGAAAGTTTCCAAGATCCATAAAGTAAAATTCAGGGGAAGTTATCAGCTTTAGGTGGATCCTTTATTTATGATTCAAAAAGATTGTGCACTTCTGATGCTATTATTTATGTTGTGAGGTTGAAATTGTGTTTAACTCCATTTTCTGTCTGGTTTTCTCTTCAGGTTGAGGCAAAGAAGGCATTTCCTAGGGAGGACCAGAACATTCTCAACAAAAACAATAATAGTGCTCTTGGATCATCCGGTCCTTCTCGTACAAAGAAGATATTTGTAGGGGGCTTAGCATCCACGGTCACTGAGAGTGACTTTAAGAGGTACTTTGATCAGTTTGGTACAATAACTGATGTTGTTGTGAAGTACGATCACAAGAATCAGAGGCCACGGGGTTTTGGATTCATAACTTATGATTCAGAAGAAGCTGTGGATAAAGTCTTGCAAAGAACATTTCACGAACTCAACGGGAAAATGGTCGAGGTCAAGTGTGCTGTTCCCAAAGAATCATCTTTAGGTCCGAGTCGGAACCAGTTAGGTGGATATAACTTTGGTCTCGATAGAGCCAACAGCTTCCTTAGTGGTCACATGCAGGGTTATAATACTAATTCAGTTGGGGGTTATGGTGTTAGAATGGAAGGTAGATCTAGTCCAGGTACTATTGGTCAGAGTGGATTTTCTCCATCAAGCCCCAGTTATGGGTTTGGACTGAATTTTGAGTTAAATTTGAGTCCAAGCTCTGGATGGAACTCAAACCTTAGATCTAAGCTGTGCTATGAACGGGGATTGGACACTTCGTTTAGTGGAAATTCAGACCGGTTTGCCAGGCCTTTTGGGTATGGTGTGAGCAGTGGAATGAATAGTTCTGTGTTAAACTCAGCAGGTCAAAATATTTGGGGAAATGGAAGTCTTAGCTATGCTACCAACTCCACAAACTCTAGTCCTATTGTTGGATCTCGAAGTGGGAAAACAGATGCAAGTTCCTTTGGCAGCATTGGATCACTTTGGGATCCCTCTCCCAAGTCAGGTCCAGGTGGAGGTGCTGCTTCTGCTTACAACAATCTTAGGTACGGAAGTGGAGGTTTTGGTGTTTCGTCCAGAGTGATAGGCCACGGGAGAACCAGTGATGCCCGTGCATCATCCCATAGTGCTTCAAATGATGGTTATTCCGATATTTTTGAAGATGGTTCATTTTGTGGGGAATCTACATGGCAATCTTTGCCCTTAGACCTAGAGCTGTCTGGCTCTTTCGATTTCGGTCTGGGAAATACAACTTCTGATGTTATAGCTAATAACTCTGCCGGTTACATTAGTGGTTATGGTGTTGCGAATAGGTAGTCAAATGGGGGTAAGACTTGATTTATTTTCTAATTTACTGTTCCATTAGTCTACTTTTCTTTTTACCCCTCAGACATATAGCCGTCTCTAACAAATTAATGTCTCTGCATCTTTCATGATATAGAACATCATCAACAGATGTTTAGTAATGAAAAGAACTCCATTTACCAGGTGTTAGTCGACAGACAGATAATTTTAGGTGCTTCATTCTGGTGTACTCATTTCCTGTTGCTTGCCATCTTTTCCAGGAATTGCCACATAGGCCGATGATTATACGATAAGGTAGGATATTTGGTGTGTGAATGACTGGATTTCTACGTTTAACATTTCGGTTATATACGAAAATACGAGTAGAGCTAACCCTGTTTACCTATCTTGATGGACCTGTTATAGAGACGAGTTACATAGAAGTCATACTTGTGCCTGAGGTTTTTCTTTTCATTTTCTAGCACAGGTTTTCCTTTACGGGAATCAATTAAATGTAAAATCAAATTGTGGGCATACGCTGGTTATTGTATTTTTTCCCTTTAATTTTTCCTTCATTTGGACTTTTAGAGTAGTTCCAATTGTTATGGTGAGTCAATTTACCGGGTTCATGTATATTGTAGATATCAGTGAGTTGTTTATTTCTCCTTCAATTAATACCAAAATTGTGTGGTCATTTGCTCTCTTTATCTTCTTGTCCTTTCCTGGAGCTAGCTTTGCAGTCATTTTCATCACCTTCAACTCCCATGACGTGGGATTTTTATCACCGGAGCGGTCGATTTTCAAAAAATTTAAAATTATATTTTAATTTTTTTATATAATTTACATTAAAATTCTATTTTAACTTCTTAAAATTCTATAAGTTTAAGTTCACTACCCTTAATTTAAAATATTATGTCCGTCCCTATGTATACATATATATAACAGTCAATTAACAACTAATTCATGTCGGCAAACGTCATTAAACTACCTTGATTAAAGATTTAAATTACAATTATGCTTTTATTTGTATTATGTTTATAATTATGAATATAATAAGTACTATTATGGTCATTGTAGATATTATAATTGTACAAAAATAATTTCGAACAATACCGTTAACACGGTCTAATAACCGCTATTCCAATAGTAGAATACCATTTAAATCTCTAACCATGATATACAAAAATTCAACAATACAAGTAAGCGTCGCCGGCTTGAACTTAACGTCATTGCACATGTTGTTAGGATAAGGGCAATTTGGGCACTGTCAGATTTAAGGGTAGTTGTCGCATACAAACGCCTCCAAATTATTTTATTGTCATTTCCGCAACTAATAAGGCCCTGTTTGGTTACGAAGTTCTCAAAGTCGTCGTTTGCTTAGCGGGTGGAGATTGGAGAAATGCGAGTACCAAACACGTCTCAGAAAATTTGATGAATCGGCTTAAACGTTGGGGGAGATATTGTAGAGGAGGATATTAATAAGTGATTCGAAAAGGGAAGAAAACGAAAAGAGAGGAGCAAAATAGATTGAGTGTTATCTTCTTCCTCTAATCTCTAATGGCGGATAAAACGAGAGCCTCAGCTTACTACTCTCATTGCTTCAACCTTGCTTCCTCTTCTTCTCTTTGATCTCTCTGTTTCTTTGTCCTCTTTGCTTCTGCTTCTTTCTCCAACTCTATAATTACAGTAGCGATGGCTTCTGCTGCTAATTGTGCAGTATATTTTTGCAGCAACACTAACTGCCTTACTGTATTTGAAATCAAAAACCATTCTTTGCCTGCTACCATTGTTAGCAGACAACCCAACACTCTTGGGAGAAGAAGGTATGATTATGTTAAATCTGACCTTTATCTTCTTTTTTCAGTACTACTTCTCTGGGTGTTGGGATTGTTGGTTGGGAAATTCTATATGGTGTTTCTTATGCCGCTTGAAGTGAAACAATTTAACGCAGTTGTAAACCCTTTGGAATTGGATAACCTCATTTGGATGTAGTTAATTTAATCAACTTATCCAGATTCAATACAACTTGAGGTTTTCTTTACGAAAAAATGAGTTATGATATTAGGAATCGAATCCGAGTATGATTCTAGTGTTAAATCTCCCTGTCCGTTATAGTTTTAAACCACAATGCAGATTTCATGTCTGCCATTGGGATCTGGCTGCAATTTTGCTTCCCAAATTTTCTTCAGTTGCTAATGCTACTGTTTAACTGGCTTTGCACTTGCTAACATTGTTTTTATCTTGAGTTTTAATCATAACAGGCTCAGATTGTCATCATCAACGACCAGAATCAATCCACCATCAGCCACTGCCATAGAGGTATGGAAGAGCAGTAATATATTTGATTGATTGTTGATCGTGTGTTAACTCACTAATGATCCGTTTCTTATGGTTTTATGTTTGAAGAATGATGGGAGTTTGCTCGATACAGTTCCAACCCCCAAAGTTATAATTGATCAGGACTCTGATCCAGATGCCACTGTTGTGGAAATAACCTTTGGGGATCGCCTTGGAGCTCTTCTTGATACAGTATAAATCCAATTTTACTTGACCACTTTAGAATATCTATATTTTTCTTTCCATTTACAATTTTGTTTTCTCTTTTATGATATGAAACTCTTTTATGTATAATCTTAACTATTAGCTAATGAGCTGCAGATGAATGCACTTAAAAGTCTCGGGTTGAATGTTACTAAGGCAAATGTCTATCTGGATTCATCTGGGAAGCACAACAAGTTTTCCATTACTAAGGCGTAAGTTGTATGCCTTTTAAGTTATTTTCAGTTTGTATTTTCGTGGTACTCGGTTAAGCCTTTCTAGCAGATTACATTTCCTGCCACATTTTGATATCTGAAAGTTAATGAGTGTAAGCTTTTTCTTGTTTGTGGTTAATGCTTACCTAATTCACCATAACTCAGTTTTTAGGCTAGGATTATTTTCAAGTGAGGTTGAAACTACTAGATATATCTCTAGAAACATCAGAAATTATTAAAGCTGTATTTATACTTACTCCTAGAAACACAGATGTGACAATGGTATTATATGCATAACAGATTACGTCTTTCATGGACTGCAAGCTGGTGTAATATCTACATCATATTGGTTTTGAATCTTCAATAGTTTAGATCACCATTTTGCTTGAATTATTGGAAAGAAGTATGGTTATTCGTTTCCCTTGAATGAATATCATGTTACATCGCAAATCAATCAGAATCTTTTTGTCTGATTCATAGAGTCAATACACTTGGAGCAGTTAAAGCCAACTTTGGAAATTCAATGCTGTTATTAACAAAACTAGGATAAAAATTGAATGTTCTGTCTCAGTTGTTATAAATGCTATTTCAGATGCAGTTTTACTAATATAGTGACGGTGTGTGTGTCTGCAGTAGTACTGGAAGGAAAGTTGAAGAACCAGAACTGCTTGAGGCAATACGTTTGACGATTATAAACAACTTACTTCAATATCATCCGGTAATCATCTTTTCTTTTTCCTTATTCCTGGTGAGGTATCTCCTAGTGAAGTCTATTGACATGTTATGTGGTCCAGGAATCAAGCTCCCAATTAGCAATGGGTGCGACCTTTGGTGTTGAGCCACCAAAAGAAACGGTATTCCACTTGCAGAATCTCGCTTTTCATGCTTGCTACTGAGGCCGGTGCAACTGGTCATAAGTGTTACAATTGTCAATCAATTATTGAGCTGAGTATGATACCCCACATTAATCTTGGCTTAAATTTTGCATTTTGGAATTCCTCAGGTTGATGTGGACATTGCAACCCACGTAAGAGTTCGTGACGATGGTCCTGACCGAAGGTAATGGTTACCCTTATACCTTATACAATGCAATCCCTGCCCTTGAAATTTTGATAGCTTAGGGCCTTGGCCGCATATTGAAAATTTTCTAGTTAGCTCCCATGCCTGATGATTCTTTGGTGTATTAATGTAAATGAAAGGATTGATATCTTTTCCGTTTTACCTTCTTCATTTCCATAGAGTTTTGTTTAGCTAAAACAAATTCGGTTCAGCTTGCTATTTGTGGAGACAGCTGATCGCCCAGGGTTGTTGGTGGATCTTGTGAAGACTATTAGTGATATCAACATTGCAGTTGAGTCTGGGGAGTTTGACACCGAGGTGACCAATCAGTTACCATTTTCTTTTTGTCACCTACGAAATATGATTTGATGATCATCTTCTCACCTTCTTTTCAAAGAATCGTATTAGCAACTCTGTAATAGAATAATAATTAATTTTTTCTACTTTTTGGACTTTTGCCACGTAGGGTTTGCTTGCAAAGGCAACGTTTCACGTCAACTACAAGGGTAAAGCCCTCATCAAGCCTCTGCAGCAGGTAAAGAACAATACAACCTAAACCAAAGTTACTCATTGTCTACCTGCTCTAGAGAAATGTGATCTTTTTGAAAAAACTTCCATAGGGTTAAGTGTTAACCATTAGGGTGGGGGGCATAGTTTTGCTATATGAAAATTTCCAACGTGTTCTTATGAAATCTGGCAGGTTCTTGCTAATAGTTTACGATATTTCTTGAGGCGTCCAATTACGGAGGAGGCGAGTTTTTGAGCCACCATAGCCAAGTTTAGGAGCAACTTACCGATACCAATGGGGTGAACTTTAGAATGTTGTTGTTGCCAATAATCTCCTCTTGTAGCAACTCTACAACTCCCCAATTACTGTTACTGCAATGATACTTGTATAACTATTTTAAGTCATTTGATCACAACTTTGTTGGCTCAATTTGTGGATTTTGTGAGTAATTTGATGCCATTCCCACTTTTATTTTTATTTATTTTATATTTCTTAAAAGACTGTAACTTTAAGTTTGGGTACACTTAAATCAATTCATCCATTTCATATATGAATAATTGTACTTAGTATAAAAGTGGTTGTATTTTTTTATTGTGCGTTCTTGGTGTAAAGATTGAACAGAAGTGCTTAACGTGTTATGCATTTACTAGCCTCAAAACATAAGTGAAACGACGACGGCTTAATTACTGGAAATAACATGCACACAGTTACCCCCTGCCCATAAACAAAACCCGAAAGGGGAAGGCAAAGATGAGAAATCCAATGCTCAACGGATGCACTCAACGATGGAGGCCGCGCAAAATGAGCAAAACAGTGAAGTAAAGCCTGCCGATATCCAGCATCAGGCACTTTCGAAGAACGCCCAAAAGAAGCTTTTGAGGCAACAGAAGAACGAGGCGAAGAAAGCAAAGATGAAAGCGCAAATGAAAGAGCAAAAACAGAGGGATGCGGAGAGGAAGCGAAAACAGTGGGAGAAGAAACTGGCCGCCTTATTCAAGAAAAGAATTGAGGAAAGAGAATGGAGAAAGATCCGAGGAAAGAGGCCAGAATATCCAGAGACTGAAACAAGCCAAGGACACCGGCCAAAACATCGTCGTCGATCTTGAATTCTCTCATCTCACGACGAACTCCGAGATCCATAGCCTCGTACAACGGGTTGTCTTCGAATCTTCAGCAAATGCATAAATTTGTCCCTTTATTACGTTGTATCCATAATGTAGTTCATGTTGTCGTCGAACCCTGCAGATTACGTACTGCTATGATGTAAATGGAAGATGTAATCTGCCTGCTCACCTCTGGTTGACTGGATGCCAAGGGGAAATGGAAACTCAATTGCAGATGCTCTCTGGGTTTGATAAGTGGATTATTGAGAAGGAACAACAATCTTATATCGAAGGGTTTTCCGAACGGAAAGATGATTTGGTGTACCTTACGGCGGATTCTGAAACAGTGCTGCATGAACTTGATCCCGCCAAAGTTTTATATTTTTGGCGGATTGGTGGATAGAAACCGGTGGAAAGGTAACTATGAAGAAAGCCAAGGAACAGGGAATTCGTACAGCAAAACTCCCTATTGGAGATTATATGAAGATGTCCAGTTCTCAGGTATGGCTCCACTTTCTTTCATCACGTAGAACAATTGCACTACTAAGAGTGTACTGAATTTTCTTTACCTCTTTCAGATGAAACTGTTGGTTTATTATCTTTATTCTGATGCAATTATGTGTTAGTTGCAAGGAAAAACCGAAAAGGCAATAGCTAGCTTAGAATCTCTTGGGGATTAACAATGCAAAGTGCAAAGTGCATATTATATCTTAATGATTGCATGCTATAGCTATACAACTTTCAAAGAATGATTAGGATGTAGATAGTAGGGTCTGGATTATTGTTTCTGATGATGGTCATGCTTGGTAGTTGGCTCACTAATCAGACTAACTTTCTAACAAACAAATAAAGAAGAAAATGTTTATTCTATAAGCTTTTCTTCTCTAATTACCATTTCTTTCCTATGAGTGCAGGTCCTTACAGTGAACCAAGTTATAGAGATACTCCTCAAGTTCCTGGAGACTAAAGACTGGAAAGCTTCCTTCTTTCAAGCAGTTCCTCAGAGGAAAAAAACCGAAGGAGATTCAGGAAACTGCCAACAAGTAGATGGAGTAGAGTTGGAGGAGGAAATTACGGAATCTGAGACTAAAAAGAGGTGCCTTGAAGTGCTTTTTCGTGACTAGAAGAGCTACCTGGATTTTGGTTTATACCGACACTTCTCCCTTTACATGCAATGGCTGTACAAGTGGAAAAATCATGACACAATTTATTGGCTTTGTAGTTCCATCACTTGCCTCTCCATTTGTCAATGGTGTTTCGATTCATACATTTAAAACTTTGGCTAAAGTTGTAGATAAGTGGATGCTCACTTTTGAGTTTGTAAGGAAAAAGGTAAAGTGCATACTGAGTTTTTAAGGAGAAAGGTAAAGTGGAAGATCCAACATTCACTTCATCTTTTCCATTATTATTCTCTCTCCAATATACAAGAGCTAGCTAAAACCTGCAAATGTGTATTTATAAATTGATCAATTGATGTCCAAATGAGAAGCCAAAATGCATAGGAAAATGGATGACTTCTTGTCATTTCCAGATACACGATGGATATATATATATATATATATATATATATATATATAACTGCTATTTTCTCATTCAAGTCGCTTTGTTTACCTAACGCTATCACAACTACAAAATAAAAAGGCTAAGCTAATGTTTCTTTAAGTTTACATTAACGCTAAACCCCCTTGCTCTTAAAGACTTCAACAGAAAACTAGAAAAAAAACAAAAATCTGTACTGAAGTTACATAATGCATGGAGTAACAGGCTCTCACCCCCTAGCCGAAAATGTCGACATTGCTCTATTTACCCAGCCAAGATAGAGGGCCTTATCCCTCTCTGCAAGTCTATAGTTATTGTCATACTCCTTCAACATATCTCTTACAGCCATAGTGACCGAAGAGCTCAATGGATATTGTGAAAAACCAGCCATCGTTAACCTTGACCTCCACTTTCCTAGAAGTTCATGCCTTTCCACCCTCTCAGTCCCCTCACAAGCAATCATATTCACGCTATCACGAGCCACACGTTGCTGCTCAGCATTGATCCTTTGTTTGTCGTCTCTTGGACAAGCTGCATCTATGGATTCAAACATAGCTGAATAATAGTCCAGTGTCTCAAGATACCTTGAAAAGAATGGAGATGTATTAGTATTGGACTCTTGCTCAGAAAGAGTCACAACCTTGGGTGACAGACTCTTGACCAGCCTCAACAGTCGATCTCTGTGATTCGAGATGTTTGCACTCTCATCTGGCATGTGATGCAATATGTATGGAAAGTTCATGGCAAGGGCTTCTCCAGGTTGAACCTTAAGATGCTCTAGTTGAATTTCACAACCAGACATAGCGGCATCATGAAAATTAAACGCCATATTGTACGACTGAGCAAATACCGATAGCCTCTGCCCCACAATATCAAGTCCCCCACCTCAAGCATGAATTGATTGAGAATCATCAATACCAGTCATGCGGATGGACGGTGGCCCACCAGGACGTTTTGCAAGTGCTGCAAAAAGAAACATCCACTGGGTCCCGTGCTATTTGGAAATCTATGATGTGAATTCTTTGTTCATATTCCATGACTTCCCTGACAACAACATTACCCGACGTGTATGCAAACTTCCAGTATGGGCAGATCCTGAAGAGAATATGCATGTACGACATCAGTTCTGAGCTCGTTGGCTCTTCGCATTTTAGGGCTTTGTAGATGTTACTCCCTGAGGATTCCAACCTCGCTCTAAGCCCTTCCAGCACATAAGCACCCAATCGTTGGATAGGTTCCCCGGACACTGAAACTATTTTCTCCAACTCATGCATTAAACAAATCACTGTCAACATATCACCATCGTGCAGTGCTTGACCACAGGCAACAAGGATCTGCTTCAGGTCTAAGTTAGGGATCATGTCCACCAGTTGATCACAGTTTAAGCTAGCCATTGAAGCAGCTTGGTGGGCCCCAGTAATGAAGCAGCCATTGCAGCTATCTATAGTATCTGATTCAGGCCCCAACAATGCGAAGAGCCGCTGAATGGTGATCCATAAGTGTTGTCGGGGGAATGATGAGGATCAGACAGGTATGATTGAGAACCTTGTGGGGAGAAAGGACTCCTGCTTGATGAGATGCTTACGGCAGAAGGGGAATCAAAACCAGCAGCTGCCATAGATGACTCCAGGGTAAAAACTTGGTCCTTGTAGGCCTGAAAGGAGACGTCAGATCCTCGGCCGACCATATCTAAACATGCATTGTTGTCTAATATCTGGATATGAGACAAAGAAAATGGATCGTTTTCTTTAACAGGTTGTTCATATAACCTGTGTATAGTGGCTGAAGATTGGTGTTTCCGAGATGTTCACATCTAACGCTAATACCATCAGTTGCTTGATTGAGCAGACTTGTTAATGGAAAATAAACAAGATTGTGCAAGTCTCGATCCCCAGCATCAATGTGGACCATCAATTGCTTTGGTTGTGCAACGCAGAAATATCAAAGGAACAAATGCAACCTAGTAAAACAAATCCAAGAAAATAACAGAGATTAGACTATGTAACTGATGGAAGCACAGTGCACTAGTCCAGAGAACCAGAGGAGGGGACAAAAAAGAAGCAATAACCAAAGGAGCCTACATGGAGATGGAGAATAAGTTAAGAGGGAAAAGTTTCTTTAAGCAACAATGATTTGAATAAGGAGTTAATCAACCATAACCATAATAAAGTGAAACACCAAAGAGAGAGAGAGAGAGAGAGAGAGAGAGAGAGAGAATATCAAGAAACCGACAATTCGATGTTTAAAAAATGCAATTAGAAGGATTTATTCCGAGAAGGAAACCTCAATATTCAGAGATCAAGCATAGTACCAACTTAAATCTCTCTCCAATGAAAATAATATAAATTAAAGAGGATATATTATAAAGGCCCAAGGTTATAGTCCAAGGCTACCAAGCCAGCCAAAAGGGGACTATTGAGAAAAACAAAGGACGAGCGAAAAAGAGAGGAAACCAAAACCAGATGACAAGGAATGAAATTGGGCAAACCAAAAGCTTAAAAAAGTATATCAGCTACCGGATTCACGATTCATTTTTATCTGTAGAGCTGCAAAGAAATTGAAAAAGCATATATAACAGCTCTATAAAGTGGTTTATAGAAATTCAAATGAAGAAGAAGAAGTTTTTTTATGAGGTTAGAAAGGCCAAACTTCCATTTTCTTCGGCAGCGCCACCAATATGAAGTCTTGTTGATGGCGTAAGAAACGCAGAATATAAAAAAGTGAAATTGAAGGCTAACCTAGCCATTATTCTTCCCCAAATCATGAGTTATCAACAAAATCATTTGAATTGATCGATCCAGGAAAACAAAAACAGACAGGAAAGAATTGAAGATTGTAATGACGAAAGCATGAGCAGATAAGAAGGGAGAGAGTAGGCATATACCTTTGTAAACTAATAATCAGCTTTTAGCTTTGGGTGTCTTTAAGTTCCTTACTCAACCAACAAAACCCGTGTCCTTGTCACCTTGTGTGCGTTTCTGTTTCTCTCCACAGATATCTGATGGCTTTGTTTATGGGATTCTCGTGGTAGAACCCGGAGATATAGATGCAGGCGGGGCTCAACTTATACCGAGGGCCGTTGAAAAGTTTGATTTTAAATTTATCTAGAATTGATATTAAAAAAACATTTTAAAAATTAAAAAATTTTAGTTTTAGATATTAGATTATAAATTATAAATATATTAAAATTAATATTATATAAAAATATATCAATTTAAATTATAAAGAAATATTTCATGATGATTTATTATTATTTATAAATGAAATATTTAAAAAACATAAAATTTTAAGGCATTGTAATGAACTAATATAATTAATTTATCAATTTTAATTTGAATAAATAAATCATATTTTGAAATTATATAAAATATAATTATTATAAAATTAAATAATTTATTTTATATATTTAAAATAAACTATAAAATGAAAATAATTAAAAAAATTGAAGGTTAAAAATTATATTTTTTTCATACGAATCAAACTTTTAAATCACAAAAGTTCAAAATTTAGATGAAGTAAAAAAAAATCATCATTAATCTATAAAAAGAAATATTCTTTTGTTCACCCAAATTTGAGGGAGGCCTAGGGTTAAAAGATATTAGAGGATGGAACAAAGCTTGCTCTATTTCTCTTATTCGAAAAATTATGGCCGGTGAAGATTCGCTATGGGTGGCGTGACTTAATGTCTATGTACTTAATGGGCAATGCTTTTGGCAGTTTGAGGGAAAGGCTAATACTAGCTGGATTTGAGAGGTGAGGCTCAATTAGTTCTAAATTCTTCTTTGAATTCTCCATGTATTACCACTAGCTGGATTTGGAGTAAACTTAGGCCTGATGGGATTAAAGTGAGTTGGTATTGGTCTCTTTGGTTTCCCCTCCATGTCCCTAAACACGCCTTTATAGGGTGGATGGTCATTTTAGATAGGCTTCCTACCAAGGATCGTGTGTTACACATGGGGATTGTGATGGATGGGGGGGGGGTGCGTATTTTGTGATGATCGGGAAACTCGTGACCATCTTTTTCTGAATGCTCTTTTGCTGTGGTGTTTGGGAAGCCGTGTTGATCAAGTGTTTTCTTCGGAGGAGAGCTCTGGGGTGGAATGAGGAGCTCGAATGGGTTGTGCATCATCTTAAGGGCAAATCTTTGATTTCTTTTATTTTGAAGCTTGCTTGATGGGATTTTATTTACTTTGTTTGGGAAGAAAGGAATATGAGGCAATTTACAGGTGTTTGCAGGGGACAATCTTCGATTTTGGTGGCCATTGAGGAGATTATTAGAATAAAACTTGTTTGTAGATGTATAGATACTGCTGATGTTGTTAATAGGGATTTTTGTTCCAATTGGGGTGCTCATTTGTAAATCTTTGTAAATGGGGTTGTTGGGTTTTTTCTGTCGACTGTAGCAGTTTTCCTGCTTTCTCGGATAAATACAAATACTTGTTCGACAAAGTTCCTGCTTAAATTTCCTTCATTACTGAAGGGGTTATAACATATTTATATGCTAAAAATGATTTTTTAATATAATGTTTGTAGTTCAATGATCATAATAATTGATATTAGTGATTATATAAATGATAATAATCAAATAATAAAATTCATCTAATATATTTTATGGTCCCAGATTTGTTGGGAAATTCGTGAAAAACTGTGACAGGATTTTGCCAAGTCCTGATGTTAAATATAAAAATCTGTATGTGAAGAACTTGGATCCAGATGTCACTGAAGAGATTAAGCAGGAGAAATTTTCTGAGTTTGGGAAAATTGCCTCCCTGGCTGTAGCAAGGGATGAAAATGGTGCCTCGAGAGGTTTCGGCTTTGCGAACTTCGAATGTCCCGATGATGCCAAGCGGGCAATGGAGTCAATGAATGGATCAAAACTTGGTAGGCTTTCTTTTACTATGCTTTACTTACTCTTCGTTTTATGCATATCCTGGTCCGTGCATACTGGAGTTTAAGTAACATAGTTCTAACACTCTTTGCCTTCATTGATGGCATAATTCAATCCAAGAGAGGCCTAACACACTTAGTTTGATGTATGCTTGTATTCATTAGGTTCAAAGGTTCTACATGTAGCAAGGGCACAAAAGAAAGAAGAACGCGAACAAATATTGCGTAATCAGTACGAGGAACAACGGAAGGAGCAGATCATGAAATATAAAGTAAGCTTTGCCTGAGCTCATTTCTCTACATGATTCAGTTCATGATAAGTTTATCTTTCTCCAAATTTCAGGCTTCAAATGTTTATGTGAAGAACATTGATGAAGATGTTACCGACGATGAGCTGAGAGACCTTTTCAGTCAATGTGGTACAATTACTTCTGCAAAACTTATGCGAGATGACAAAGGAACAAACAAGGGGTTAGGATTTGTCTGTTTCTCTGCTCCGGAGGAGGCCGCTAAAGCCGTCGGCATGTTCCATGGTAAGTTAACGAGTTTTTATAATAATTTAGGAAGTTATTCACTTGTGTCTTGCATCTCAAGTTTCATGCCTTAATTTGTGAACGATCTTTGTCCCGGAATTGTATATCTTTTAGGATATATTTTCCATCGGAAGCCTCTGTATGTTGCTATTGCTCAAAGGAAGGAGGATAGACAAGCACAATTGCAACTTCGGTATGAGCAGTGTATGGCCCGATTGGCAGGACCTTCCACAACTATTCTCCCTGGAGGATATCCTCAGCTTTACTACATATCTCCGACCCGTGTTGTTTCTCAAATACCTCTGAGGCCGGGGATGATGTACCAACCTTTAAGTTTTTGGCCAGGATGGAGGGGTAATGGCTTTGCACCATCAGCCAGACCAGTCTTTCAACCATCACTGCCCATGGTATGTATCCATTCTAGGTTCCTATACAAGTACATTAGAGGTACAAACTACTATATGACTACCAGTATATGAGTACTTATTTATGCTATTTCGTAGTTTCCTACTGCTCCAATGCAAACCAGGGCAAAACGGGCTCGGATGAACGGTCCTTCTCTTATGCAGGGCAGTCCTCACCCGGTCACATATGTGCCTCATTCGCAACAGTTGACTCAGACAGTGAATTCTTTGGAAGATCAAAGTAACCAACAGGTTAAACTTTTCCCCCTCTCCCTTTTACATGGATTCACTTGTTATATATTTTCGAGTCTATGTTGATCGGATTCTTCATTTTGCAGTGGACTGGGCAAGGTAAATATGTACCAAACGGTCGAGCTAGAGAGGTGAACAAAGGCTCTGATGCGGCACCAGGTGGTTCGAACTCTGTTTTAGTTTTTACACAAGGGAGTGAGATGCTGAGTAGCATGCTTGCTGCGGCTTCACCCGAGCAGCAAAAAACAATACTTGGTGAACGAATTTATCCCCTTGTTCACAAGCACCAGTTAATTTCCATAGCCTAGAACACTTGAACATATACAATTACTTTTTAGACACGATCCGACATGAATATCTTCATTTTTCTTGAAAATTTATGTCCGACACTTGTGTCGGTTGCATATTCATTATTTGAGTACATAACTCTTCAGTGACCTGAACATGGAGAATCATCCCTTCGAACCTATATCGTGATACGAATATTGAACACGAATACTTCATAGCTAACATGTTTCTCTTGTATACAGCCTGATCTGGTCCAAAAGGTAACTGGAATGCTTCTAGAGATGGACAACTCTGAACTGCTTCTTCTGTTAGAGTCCCCAGAATCACTGGCAGCCAAAGTGGAGGAAGCCGTGGAGGTTCTCAAGCTCTCAAATGCAAAAATGTCCGGCCAAGATGCCCTTCGTACCAATTCCCTTTCTGCTGGAGTTGCTGTCAATTGAAATCTTGGCTGTCCAAAAGGAAAAAGGCCATTTCAGTGATTTTTAAGAATTAATATCCAATCTCAGCAGTGAACTTTCAAAATTTCCCCTACAGTTTAATTGTTATTTATGAAGTAAATTGAATTGAAAGGATTCATTGTTGAGGATATAGTAAGTTAGTAAGGTATCTTGATGGAGAGGTTGACTTACCAGAAAATTTGACGCCACCGGCTGCATTTCATGGGGGCGCAGAGAGATTTGAAGCCTTTGTGCATTCGTTCTCGTCCTCATCCTCATCCCCGTCATTGGATAATATGATTTCATATCCATTCTTGGAAAATGGTAATGCTGGTACTAGCTAGCTTCGCTTCTATTTCAAGCTCTCCACTTCCTGAGGACAAACTATATACTGTATTGTGTTTGGGACTTTGAGCTTGTATTATATGCAAAACCGTGCAAAAACCTAATCAAAGGGAATAAAAGATTTCTCTCGCGAACATGATGTTTCAATGATATTTTTTCTGATCCAATATTTATGTCCAAATATAATCAATCATAATTCAAAGAAAAATATGAATTCAATTAAAATCAAATCATTAGAATCATTTCTAATTTCTCAAATCTGTATTCAATGGCCCCAATGCAATCATAAGTTCTTGTTGCCCTAGGAGGAGGATGCTGATGGTGGTGACATTTTCTTTGACCGGAGCAAAGTAGAAGACTATGGCAGTGAGTATGGCAATACATTATTGTTTTTAAATCTACATTACTACAATTCCGGCAAGAACCACAAATCGAATCATTAATCTGATATCAAAGGTGAAGCTAATTAGATTTGCTTTGCTTTTACTGTTTTGTAATTCACCGTCATTGTATTATTAGGGAAACCACGGTAGATGCTGGGCATCTTTCTTTTATGATTTCCACACAGTGAGTTGTGAAGTAGCTTCGAAATTTAAGTGCAATTTTGATTTGAATTTCAACCATTTTGAAGGTTTTAATTATGTTTTGTCAGCTGTAGGTACTGGTTGATCATGGCTTGATCTGAAGTTACTTCCTTAGGCTTGTAAAGTTATTATCAATTCCTTTGGCTGCAATTACTCAGATGACTTTGGAAATCAAAGTTTACCTTTTTTTCCATAAAGAAATGACTGGGTAACTCTCAACTTTGATTTGATTCTCATAATTGAAGCAATGCTTGTCAAATGTGGGGCTTCATAATTAATGTTTAATTGACAAGTCTCCCTCTATCATTTTTCTTATACAAGAAATTAATGTTCTCTTAATATATATATATAGATTGATTGATGTGAAACGTAGAAAGTGATGGGAAGTAGAACAAGTATGACATGACTCGGTTATGAGGGGGAAAATATCAACCATAGAAGCTAGCCCCGAGTATACGCATTGAACTAAAGCGTGGAAAATGCAAATCATAGCCAGTAGCCACATGAGTTTGAAAGAAAACTTGGACCAATTGACGGGAGATAGAACAGGATAATATCAGAGTTTGAGAACTATTATTTCTTGTTGATGAACAAAGCCTTCTCAAATCTATAAACCCAAAATTTTCCTTCTCATAATTCATCATGTCATTATTACCTTCAACTTTATCATGTATTTCTAGAAAGAAATACGATGTTTTCTTGAGTTTTAGAGGTGAAGATACCCGTAAAAGCTTCACAGATCATCTCTATGATGCTCTAAATCGAAGTGGAATTATCACTTTCAAGGATGATCCAAAGATGGATGCCGGTGAAGAGATCGCACCACAACTCTTCGGAGCCATTCAACAATCATGGTGCTCGGTAATTGTTTTTTCAGAAACCTATGCCTTTTCAAGTTGGTGCTTGGAGGAGCTTGTTGAGATTGTTAAACAAAAAAACGAGAAAGGACATAAAGTGTTTCCAATCTTCTACGATGTGAATCCATCTGATTTAAGAAAACATAAAGAAAAAGTTGAAGAAGCATTTGCCAAACATGCAGAGAGATACATGGAAGATAAAGAAAAGATTCTGAGGTGGCGAAATGCTTTGACTCAAGTGGCTAACATCAAAGGATGGCATTTAAATAACAGGTAAATCATTCTTTTCTTTCCTGTTTTCTTGTTTAATTAATTTAATAATTATAAAAATGAACTGAATTTTATTTCTTTGTAGGCATGAATCAGAGTTTATAGGAGATATTGTTAGAAAAATATCAGCAAAATTATGTCAGACATATCCAATTGTTCATGATGAGTTGGTTGGAATTAGTTCACGCTTGGAGGAGTTGCATTCCAAAATAGAGATTGGGGAAGATGACATCCGCATCATAGGAATTTGCGGAATGGGTGGCATCGGTAAAACAACTCTCGCAAGAGTTGTATACGACCAAATGTCATCTCATTTTGAAGGTAAATGCTTCATTGCTGACGTTCGAGAAGTTTCAGACAAATTTGGAATTGTTTCTCTACAGAAACAACTTCTTTTCCAGATCTTGTCCGGTGAAGTCTTCGAATTTTTCAATGTTCATGAAGGGAATGCCATAATTAGCCACAGATTATCTAACAAAAAGATCCTTGTTGTGATTGATGATGTGGATAATTTACAGCACTTGAAATGCTTGGTTGGAAGGCATGATTGGTTCGGTTTAGGGAGTAGAATCATTATAACAACAAGAGATGAACACTTGCTCCAATCTTACCGAGTTGATGATGTGTATAAGCCTTCAACATTGAATGACAGCGAGGCACTTAAACTTTTCAGTTTGAAAGCTTTTGATAGTGAGACAGCACCAAATGATGTTTTTGTTGAGCTTTCTGAACATGTTGCAAAATATGCCAGTGGTCTCCCCTTAGCTCTTGAAGTCTTGGGTTCTTTTTTGTGCGGTAGAGATGTAGCTCAATGGAGAAGTGCAATCCAAAGACTTGAAAAGGATTCTAACAAAGAGATTATTGACAGACTTCGAATTAGCTTTGATGGATTAGAAGAAACGGAGAAGAACATATTTCTAGATATAGCATGCTTCTTCAATGGGGACGAGAAAGATTTTGTCATGAAAGTATTGGATGGCTGTGAGTTTTTCCAGGATATTGGAATCGATGTTCTCATTAAGAAGTCTCTACTAACTGTTGATGAAACCAACAAATTGTGGATGCATAACTTACTACAAGAAATGGGAAGAAGAATTGTTAGGGAAAAATCTATTGAGGAGCCTGGAAAACGTTGTAGATTGTGGGAGGAAAATGATGTATATCATGTGCTAACGAAAAACACTGTAAGTCTTTCCAAGGAAATTGCATATTATATTAATGTTAAAGACAAAAATGATATACACAATGTAATTTTTCACAAGTTTTATCACAGAAATTGCCTCATTTTATTTTTTTTGTTTCTTATGTCTTACTTTTGAATGTTTTTAGGCTACGGAAGCGATTGAAGGCATGATCATTGACAATAAAAGGTAGCAAAACATACATAAACATGCATCCATGTGTAAATTTCATATTTTGTCAAAAGTGACCCTTAAAGTTTTATTATATCACTATACTCAAATTACACCGTTCCTTATTGAGTTATACTCTCTTTCTTATTTTACTCACTATACTTTTAGTTTTTCTAATTTATTTTGAAAATACTTGAAGAATCATCTCTATGTTTATATTCGGATGTGTGGGATACGAGTGCTTGATGGAGCATAGATAAATTAAGTGTTGGAGCAGCCTTGCTTTTAGGTATGAAATGCTTTGGGATATTTTTAAATTTGAACAGAATTTTCGTTGTTTTACCCTTGGTTATCAGGATATCTAACAAGATGCTCAATTTGAATGTTAATGCTGTCTCGAAGATGAAAAAATTGAGATTGCTCAAAGTCCTTTGCCTCTTAAATTGTGATGAACTCAAATATCTTCCTAATGAGTTGCGGCTCTTAGATTGGATGGGATATCCTTTAAGATTCTTACCTCCAAGCTTCCAACCAGACAACCTGGTTGCACTTCTGCTACCATACAGTCGCATTGAACAACTATGGAGGGGAAATATGGTAAGAACTAATTCATATGATCATTGTTTTTTAACTTATTTTAGGAACTAAATCTTCTCTAATTTATTATTATTTTCAGCAGCCCCTGTATAATTTGAAAGTGCTCAACCTCAAAGGGTCCGATAACCTGATCAAGACACCGGACTTTACAACAGCCCCAAATCTGGAAATTTTGATATTGGAGGGTTGTACAAGAATAGTAGATGTTCATCCATCAGTCGGAGTTCTTTCGAGGCTTAAACTTTTGAATTTAAGAAGCTGCACAAGTCTTAGGAATCTTCCAACCAAAATTGGAATAGAATCTCTTGAAACATTAATCCTAAAAGATTGTAGAAACCTTATTAGTCTCCCAAGCAGCATAGGTGGGTGTAAATATCTAAAAACTCTTGATCTTTCAGGTTGCTATGAAGTTGAAAATTTACCGGAGAATTTGCAGCAAGTAGAGTTGTTGGAAGAGCTTGACTTAAGTGAAACAGCCATAGCAAAACCGCCATCCTTCATTTTTCAACTTAAAAATCTTAAAGTTTTGTCTTTGAATAGGCTCAAGGCACCATCATCTAAGTTAGCACCAAATCTACCTTCTCTTTTCCAGGTATTCCAAAGAGGACGGATCGAGTCTGTGCCTCTTATGTTACATTCACTGTCAGGTTTGATTTCACTAAGAGAGCTGAAACTAAGGAACTGCAATCTTCGTGAAGGAGATATTCCAAGTGATATTCATTGTTTACCCTATTTGGAAAAGCTTGAGCTTGGTGGTAACAATTTCATCAGCGTACCTGTGTCTGTCATTAGATTTCTCAGTCTTCAATATCTTGGATTGTCAAATTGCAGGGAGCTTAAATCGTTTCCTAGTCTTGGTGCTTCTCTAGAACTATTTGCAACTCCATCAAAGTTTTGCAAGGCAGTGGATTTGACACGGTTTAATGGTCTTCACTGCTACAAAATAGTTGAGAATATCAATGCATTAACAATGCTGAAAATCTATCTTAAGGTCGATTTATCATTCTTTGTATTTACAGAATCTCATTCTTGAAGAATTACAGTATCAGTTACCAAACAACATTTTATTTTGCAGATAGTTGCATGTTTAAGAAAAAGTTTTGATGTTGTTATGCCCGGAGGTGAAATCCCAAAATGGTTCAGCCATCAAACAGTTGACTCTTCAATCAAGATACCACTGCCTAACAATATTCAGAATGATAGTCAATGGATCGGAGTTGCCTTCTGCTGCATTTTTGTCAATGATGATGCTTCAAGGGATGAGGAACTCACATGTGATGCTATTATCCATCATAGGAATTCTGGACAAGCTGATTCTGATGGATCTGGTTTTCGGGGTAGAAATCCTCGACGTGTCTCAGGGGACGGCTGGATTTTTTCTAAAGAATATAACCAGCCCATAATAAAGGACCACCTTTATTGTTGTTTTTTGTTCCGTGAAAGATTATATCCATTTTCCCTGGAGGATAAATGTGGTGAAAGTGAAACTGAGAATTCATCAACATTGGATTGCTCAAATCAGGAATTTGATGAACTCCAGTTTTCAGTCACATCCGATGATAGTCACATAAGTGTTAAGGTGAAGAAATGTGGGCTTCGAATAGTTTATCAGAAAGATTTGGAAGATATCAATGAAGATTCCGCCGCAGATGGATCAATAGCTGAAGGTCCCCTTATAAAGTGAAGATATAATGTTTATGAAGAGACCGAAGCCGTGATTGCAGCATTATTGCTGTTATTATTGCAGCTGTAATTACTGCATGCATGTTGCATGCAGACTGCCATGCAGGGGCAGTGTCACGGGCACAAGTGGGGAGTGCATGCAGGGGAGAGACGCATAGAGTGTAATGCGTATTTGGGGTGTACTGTAGCAATCACTTCATTTGAAGAAATAATTCCGAGACAACATTATTTTACGAAATAAAATTATCAGCAACATTAACATTATCTGGAAAAATCAGCCATATTTTATGATGAAGCGAACATAAAATCTATAAAGCCTAAAATGGTTGCCTTTTCTGACTTTGGCTTCATGTTTTCGAACGAAGGATTTGATATTGACGTTGATAAACAACTTGGAGAATCTTGGTGCTTTTCCTTTACACTATTAATATACTTTAAACAAAGGGCGTACCAATATATATATACACACATTGGCTCGCTTTCGTTATCTTGAATACCTCAGCGTGAGATGAAAATCGAGATTTGATGATGCTCATAGATATTTAAACAAACAAACAAACTTATAAAATATTTTTAATCAAATAAAAAAGAGGTTAGTGTACCTTTTTGACCTCTGATCTTTCGTGCTGTTTTATTAAATTTGGCATTAAGCTGTGATTTAATCTCTAACTTTTATGAGAAAGGCGGTTGGGCATCGAAGAAAATGTAGATAAGAAGTGATTGTGATATTATATTATTATTCGAATTCTCTTATCAAACCAACCTTTCGGTAGAGGTGTTCAAAAAAATATAAAATCGATAACCGTAACCGTTAATCGGTGTAACCGTTATATTTATCAGGTTAATTAATCGAACCATTAATACTAAACGGTTTCGGTTAACCGAATAGCTAAAAAAGATAGTTAACGATTAAGGTTACAGTTACGAATTTTGATAAACGGTTAACCGTTAATAAATTAAATTTATAATTATATCTCTAAATTTATTTTATTTTTACATAAATAACTTAATATAAATTTCTATTATTTATAATTTATATATACTTTTAGTAAAATTTGTATACAAATAACTTAATGTATATATATATATATATATATTTTATTTCTTTGAAAATATAGAACACTAATATAATTATATGTTTATTGTTAGGTACTAAGATATTAGGAGATGTACATACTTACATCAGTGTAAGTATATGTTAAGTGCTATACTTTTTTATTTTATTTACTTACATTGTTGTGTCAAGTGTTATACTTTTTTTATTTTATTCACTTACACCCGTGTAATATGTGTTAAGTGCTACAATTTGTTGTTTTATTCACTTACACCAGTGAAAGTACGTATTAAGTGCTACACTTGTTTATTTTTTCACTTACATTGGTGTAAGTACGTGTTAAGTGCTACACTTGTTTATTTTATTCACTTACACCGATGTAAATATGTGTTAATTGCTACATTTTTATGTAGTATGAATTATAAAAAAAATGACAAATAATTATAATTAATAGGTTAACTTGTAATCGAATCGTTAATAATGGTTAACCATTAACGGATTAACTGTTTTTTAATGATTAGGTTATGGTTAAAAAAATCTCATAACGGTTATAACGGTTAATCGTCCATGAACAACCTTACCTTTGGGTCCATCTTTGGCAGGGGCTCTAAAACCGACCCTGTGATTCAAAGGTATTGTCGGTAACACAGACCCCAGGAGGGGCGATCTTCGATCAACTTTCGTAAAAGGGGAATATTCCCATCTTCAGTGCATATACATAGTTCATCGTTAACATCGAAATCAATTGATAAATGGAAGTTGTTGGGGGGTAACAAATCACAAGAGAACGATTCCCCGATTGAATTTATATATAACCCTAATCAAAGGTACACTGACCTCACTTCATATGTGTTTTAGTTGGCTCCATTTCTTTAGTCTTTCTTGTAAAGAAGAAAAGGTCGTATCACGTGAGTGGAATAATCTCCCTTCTCTTCCAAAGAATAAAGGAAGATCATAGACTTAGAATAAAGTAAGTGCAGAAACACAAATCAAACTTTATTTAATAAAATATTATTTTAATCAATTTTTAATTTTCTCAATCTTTGTACTCAACTCTCAAAGTCATGTGCAATATATGAAGGATTAGTGGAGAATTCAATTAAGCCATGGTTAACACTAATCAAAAGACCCAGTTCTTAGCTCAATCAAATTTCTTTTTGACTGTTTTGGTTCTATTATAGTATTTTCCCTTCATACTTTTTGTTATGTTCACAATCGCAAATGGTTATGCCTTATGGGGCTAATAACAGCTGAACCTCCGTATATTACCTAATTTTCTTTATGTATTGATGATAATACTGAAATATATATATATATATATATATATGCTATAATTTACAAATCATCAATAATGGTTTTAAAAACTAAAAAAAGAACTGTACCAACAATCCGCTGTAGTCTAATTGGTTAGGATACTTGGTTCTCACCCGAGAGACTCCCGGCAACGGAAGCTTTTTTGCTGTCATTCATATTTTCAGGGCACCGTTTTCTCATTCCGATTCAAAGCAGTGATAAACTTATAGTTTTACCATCACTATTGCATTCTTCTATGGATCCCATTCGAGCAACCTATTAAACATAGCCCTTACAAACATTTCTTTGATCTACTTAGACTACTTTTATTTTTACCTGACAACAATCACAAGAACGGACGCAAAATTTTATATTAGGCGGCGAACTTAAACTCAAAGGAGATGATCTAAAATTCTAAGGACAAACTAAAATTCTAGGGGGCGAAACAGATTTTCAACTAGAAATGCATAAATTTTTTTTAAAATTTATGGTAATTTTAAATTTTTAGGTTTGACTGCGCCACTCGCCCCCTCGGTCTATCCCTGTTCACAACACTTTTACATCTCAAGAAACATCATCATTTACCCATAAAGTAGAGCTCCATTTTTTCCCCTCTTCAACCGATCATGTATGAAGTAGAAGGTAACCAACAGTGACTTAGGTACTTAAAAGTGTTGGGCCTTCTTCAGTTGGGAATAAAATGTTATGGATGTTTTTACAATGATGTGAGTGACTGGAGTGTGGAATCATCTTGTGAAGGCATCAGCACTTGGTTTGCGCCCTCCATATTTACTAATTAGAAAGTTCTGTGCAGCCTGATCAGCTTCATCTTCAAAAGCCTCTCTGCTTATTCCCTATGTTGTACGAATCGCAAAGACTATTTTCTAGGGAAGACAGCTGATCCTGCCTGTAAAAAATTGCCGATAAATTCAATCCAGGGAGCATTGTTTTTATTTTAAAGCCTAAAGCAAGCGTGACAATTTTAGTGAAAGGTAAGGCTTGCGAAAAATAAATATGAAGAAGACACGTACCTTCTGGAGACGACTGAAAATACAAATTCGGCTCGAGCCGGAAAGTGATGCAACGGCTAGGGAAGCAAAGTGTTGGAAACACACTAAACCAAACTTGTGGGAAGCTGACCGAGAAACTGAAATGCTTTGGATAAAATTTATATTATTCGCTTTTGCTAACAACCCATTTAGTCTAGTTGGTTAGGATACCCAATTCTCACCTGAGAGACCCGAGTTCAAATTCCGTTAATGGAAAATGTTTTTGTCACGAAGTGATAGATTTCATGGTTGTTAACGGGCACCTTTTTTTCTCCTTATTGGTAGTACCCTACTGGGTCATAGCTGCTAAAGTAATGCACTAAAAGAGTTTTATGCTCCATTTTGCTGAACAATAACATGCAAAGGTTAATTTCTTTTGGGGAAATTTTATTGGTAAAAAAATGAAGAAAAAGTTCCAACACATACGATAACAGCTGAGAAAAAAGGTAATTGCTTAATGTTCCAACACATACGTAATGGGGTTTATGGAGAAACACCTACGCACAGGGGAGCAAACGTGAACTATTATTAGACTGTTATAATTCTAAAAATTTGTATGTATCCCTAGAAGACCAGTCATATAGTTATTTTAAAACAAGGCTGCCTTGGACGGAGTAGTGTAAAGATTATGGTTTCTAGGCAGCAATTTGAGCTTCTCCTCAGAAACACCTACGCACAGCAGAGACCCACTGTCCATAGTCCCAATGAATGAGAGTCGTAAATTTTAAAATAACTTCCAAATAATTGTTCACTCTTTATTTACATGTAGGAAAGAAGTGAAGATTCACCTTGAAAAAAAATGAGATAAGAAATTATTATTGGTCGAGACCATGGACAGTGGCAGAGCAACATATGGTTCCAGGTGGGCACGTGCCCACCTTGAAATCTTAATTTTCTTTGGTTAATTCCTTATTTTACTAATGGTGTCTGTCTTGAAATTTTAATTGTGCTTATTCATTCAAAAGTTTTGTCTTACTAGCATATGTGTGTCCACCTTCAAAAATATTTCTGGATCCTCCACTAATTATGGATGATGTGAATACCATCAAATAATTTTTCCTGTCTTGGAGATTGCATCGTTGGCATGGCCTTGCCACGTGGTATAACTTTTTTTTCATCACTATTACTGTAGACATTGCCAAGTGCTATCCTCTTAAATTAAAAATCAACTAAGATCTGAAGATTTACTCCTGAAATTGTCTTCGTGTGAGAGAGCGAGAGGGGGATCCAGCTAGGGTAGAGTTAGCCAGAAAGGAGAGACTGATAGAACGCGGAGGCTTTCTCGGCTACCGTAAACTCCCCGACAATACCACTGGTAAAGTACATAACTTGAAAAAAAAATGGTGAAAATTACTGCTTGGATCTATGTAAATTTGTTGATTTTATCCACATGCAGCTGCACTTCCGATATATCTTTATATAATGTATACTTCTTTATGAGATGATCCTACTATATATCCACCCCTTATCTGGTAGCTCATCAGGAACTCTTGCATGCAACTGATACTATTTGATGCATCGATATTAACATGCTGATGGTCTCTTCAGTTTTCCTTGTTTCTTACTTTCTTATTTGATGCCATAGAGTTTTCCTTATCTTTTTGATGTGTTTTTCAATGGTCGATGATAATGTCCGTCT